GAGAATGAACCTCAATGTTTCTTTCAGAAGCTCGAACGTGCTGCGTAACAAGAATGAACCTCATTGGTTCTTGCAGAAGCTCAAATGTGCTGCGTAACACGAGAATGAACCTCATTGGTTCTTGCTGAAGCCCAAACGTGCTGCGTAACACGAGAATGAACCTCATTGGTTCTTGCTAAAGCTCAAACGTTCTGCGTAACAAGAATGAACCTCATTGGTTCTTGCAGAAGCTCAAATGTGCTGCGTAACACGAGAATGAACCTCATTGGTTCTTGCAGAAGCTCAAACGTGCTGCGTAACACGAGAATGAACCTCATTGGTTCTTGCAGAAGCTCAAACGTGCTGCGTAACACAAGAATGAACCTCATTGGTTCTTGCTGAAGCTCAAACGTGCTCCGTAAAAAGAATGAACCTCATTGGTTCTTGCAGAAGCTCAAATGTGCTGTGTAACACGAGAATGAACCTCACTGGTTCTTGCAGAAGCTCAAACGTGCTGCGTAACGAGAATGAACCTCATTGGTTCTTGCAGAAGCTCAAACGTGCTGCGTAACACGAGAATGAACCTCATTGGTTCTTGCTGAAGCTCAAACGTGCTGCGTAACACGAGAATGAACCTCATTGGTTCTTGCAGAAGCTCAAATGTGCTGCGTAACACGAGAATGAACCTCATTGGTTCTTGCAGAAGCTCAAATGTGCTGCGTAACACAAGAATGAACCTCATTGGTTCTTGCTGAAGCTCAAACGTGCTGCGTAACAAGAATGAACCTCATTGGTTCTTGCAGAAGCTCAAACGTGCTGCGTAACAAGAATGAACCTCATTGGTTCTTGCAGAAGCTCAAACGTGCTGCGTAACAAGAATGAACCTCATTGGTTCTTGCAGAAGCTCAAACGTGCTGCGTAACAAGAATGAACCTCATTGGTTCTTGCAGAAGCTCAAACGTGCTGCGTAACAAGAATGAACCTCATTGGTTCTTGCTGAAGCTCAAACGTGCTGCGTAACGAGAATGAACCTCATTGGTTCTTGCAGAAGCTCAAACGTGCTGCGTAACGAGAATTAACCTCATTGGTTCTTGCAGAAGCTCAAATGTGCTGCGTAACATGAGAATGAACCTCATTGGTTCTTGCAGAAGCTCAAACGTGCTGTGTAACACAAGAATGAACCTCATTGGTTCTTGCTGAAGCTCAAACGTACCGCATAACACGAGAATGAACCTCATTGGTTCTTGCTGAAGCTCAAACGTACCGCATAACACGAGAATGAACCTCATTGGTTCTTGCAGAAGCTCAAACGTGCTGCGTAACAAGAATGAACCTCATTGGTTCTTGCAGAAGCTCAAATGTGCTGCGTAACATGAGAATGAACCTCATTGGTTCTTGCAGAAGCTCAAATGTGCTGCGTAACATGAGAATGAACCTCATTGGTTCTTGCTGAAGCTCAAACGTGCTACGTAACACGAGAATGAACATCATTGATTCTTGCTGAAGCTCAAACGTGCTGCGTAACATGAGAATGAACCTCAATGGTTCTTGCAGAAGCTCAAATGTGCTGTGTAACACAAGAATGAACCTCATTGGTTCTTGCTGAAGCTCAAACATGCTGCGTAACATGAGAATGAACCTCATTGGTTCTTGCTGAAGCTCAAACGTGCTGCGTAACAAGAATGAACCTCATTGGTTCTTGCAGAAGCTCAAATGTGCTGCGTAACATGAGAATGAACCTCATTGGTTTTTGCAGAAGCTCAAACGTGCTGCATAACACGAGAATGAACCTCATTGGTTCTTGCAGAAGCTCGAACGTGCTGCGTAACAAGAATGAACCTCATTGGTTCTTGCAGAAGCTCAAATGTGCTGTGTAACAAGAATAAACCTCATTGGTTCTTGCAGAAGCTCAAATGTGCTGCGTAACATGAGAATGAACCTCATTGGTTCTTGCAGAAGCTCAAATGTGCTGCGTAACACGAGAATGAACCTCATTGGTTCTTGCAGAAGCTCAAACGTGCTGCGTAACACAAGAATGAACCTCATTGGTTCTTGCAGAAGCTCAAATGTGCTGCGTAACACGAGAATGAACCTCATTGGTTCTTGCAGAAGCTCAAATGTGCTGCGTAACACAAGAATGAACCTCATTGGTTCTTGCTGAAGCTCAAATGTGCTGCGTAACACGAGAATGAACCTCATTGGTTCTTGCAGAAGCTCAAATGTGCTGCGTAACACGAGAATGAACCTCATTGGTTCTTGCAGAAGCACAAACGTGCTGCGTAACACGAGAATGAACCTCATTGGTTCTTGCAGAAGCACAAACGTGCTGCGTAACACGAGAATGAACCTCATTGGTTCTTGCAGAAGCACAAACGTGCTGCGTAACACGAGAATGAACCTCATTGGTTCTTGCTGAAGCACAAACGTGCTGCGTAACACGAGAATGAACCTCATTGGTTCTTGCAGAAGCACAAACGTGCTGCGTAAAACGAGAATGAACCTCATTGGTTCTTGCAGAAGCTCAAATGTGCTGCGTAACACGAGAATGAACCTCATTGGTTCTTGCAGAAGCTCAAATGTGCTGTGTAACACAAGAATGAACCTCATTGGTTCTTGCAGAAGCTCAAACGTGCTGCGTAACACAAGAATGAACCTCATTGGTTCTTGCAGAAGCTCAAATGTGCTGCGTAACACAAGAATGAACCTCATTGGTTCTTGCAGAAGCTCAAACGTGCTGCGTAACACGAGAATGAACCTCATTGGTTCTTGCAGAAGCTCAAACGTGCTGCGTAACACGAGAATGAACCTCATTGGTTCTTGCAGAAGCTCAAACGTGCTGCATAACACAAGAATGAACCACATTGGTTCTTGCAGAAGCTCAAATGTGCTGCGTAACACAAGAATGAACCTCATTGGTTCTTGCAGAAGCTCAAATGTGCTGCGTAACACAAGAATGAACCTCATTGGTTCTTGCAGAAGCTCAAACGTGCTGCGTAACACGAGAATGAACCTCATTGGTTCTTGCAGAAGCTCAAATGTGCTGCGTAACACAAGAATGAACCTCATTGGTTCTTGCAGAAGCTCAAACGTGCTGCGTAACACGAGAATGAACCTCATTGGTTCTTGCAGAAGCTCAAATGTGCTGCGTAACACAAGAATGAACCTCATTGGTTCTTGCAGAAGCTCAAACGTGCTGCGTAACACAAGAATGAACCTCATTGGTTCTTGCAGAAGCTCAAATGTGCTGCGTAACACAAGAATGAACCTCATTGGTTCTTGCAGAAGCTCAAACGTGCTGCATAACACAAGAATGAACCACATTGGTTCTTGCAGAAGCTCAAATGTACTGCGTAACACAAGAATGAACCTCATTGGTTCTTGCAGAAGCACAAACGTGCTGCGTAACACGAGAATGAACCTCATTGGTTCTTGCAGAAGCTCAAATGTACTGTGAAACACAAGAATGAACCTCATTGGTTCTTGCAGAAGCACAAACGTGCTGCGTAACACGAGAATGAACCTCATTGGTTCTTGCAGAAGCTCAAACGTGCTGCGTAACACAAGAATGAACCTCATTGGTTCTTGCAGAAGCTCAAATGTGCTGTGAAACACAAGAATGAACCTCATTGGTTCTTGCAGAAGCACAAACGTGCTGCGTAACACGAGAATGAACCTCATTGGTTCTTGCAGAAGCTCAAATGTGCTGCGTAACACGAGAATGAACCTCATTGGTTCTTGCAGAAGCTCAAACGTGCTGCGTAACAAGAGAATGAACCTCATTGGTTCTTGCAGAAGCACAAACGTGCTGCGTAACACGAGAATGAACCTCATTGGTTCTTGCAGAAGCTCAAACGTGCTGAGAAACACAAGAATGAACCTCATTGGTTCTTGCAGAAGCACAAACGTGCTGCGTAACACAAGAATGAACCTCATTGGTTCTTGCAGAAGCACAAACGTGCTGCGTAACACGAGAATGAACCTCATTGGTTCTTGCAGAAGCACAAACGTGCTGCGTAACAAGAATGAACCTCATTGGTTCTTGCAGAAGCACAAATGTGCTGCGTAACACAAGAATGAACCTCATTGGTTCTTGCAGAAGCACAAACGTGCTGCGTAACAAGAATGAACCTCATTGGTTCTTGCAGAAGCTCAAATGTGCTGCGTAACACAAGAATGAACCTCATTGGTTCTTGCAGAAGCTCAAACGTGCTGCGTAACAAGAATGAACCTCATTGGTTCTTGCAGAAGCTCAAATGTGCTGCGTAACACAAGAATGAACCTCATTGGTTCTTGCAGAAGCTCAAATGTGCTGCGTAACACAAGAATGAACCTCATTGGTTCTTGCAGAAGCTCAAACGTGCTGCGTAACAAGAATGAACCTCATTGGTTCTTGCAGAAGCACAAACGTGCTGCGTAACACGAGAATGAACCTCATTGGTTCTTGCAGAAGCTCAAACGTGCTGCGTAACACGAGAATGAACCTCATTGGTTCTTGCTGAAGCTCAAACGTGCTGCGTAACACGAGAATGAACCTCATTGGTTCTTGCTGAAGCTCAAACGTGCTGCATAATAAGAGTGAATTCTATGTGATGAGCATAGAGTTAGTACCTAGTTATTACCCAGTTATTGCAATTACTATAATAGGTACATAGTATGTACATGGGGAACAGGACTGTAAAATAAAGTGCTACCGAATTTATATATTTATTTGTGTATTTATTAGTGCTGTCAAATCAATTAATCGTGCCTTAATCACATCTAACATAAAAGTTTTAGTTTATATAAATGTGTATATATTACATTTATATATATATTATGTATACGTGTGTGTTCCTATATAGACAGACACATACAGTATATGCAAACTCTGAGATGGATGTTTTTAGGTGCAGTCAGAGTTGCTTTGGCAGAAGAAAAAGTTATAAGTGAAAAAAAAACAAAAAAACATTGACCCCTTTAAATTGAATAGAGTTGATTTATTTATTAGACAAACTATTTGGTTATTATGTTATCAGACTCACTGGCAAAACAAATGCATTGATGGGTGGGCCGTCAACCACATGGACGGTCCAGGGGACAGCGGACATCTCAGCAATATCCTTGTTCCTCTTTACCAGAGTCTGAACCAGTAGCTCCACAGCCTGGTGCCTGGGGTCCGATGGAGCAATCAGAGAATCCTTAAACTCCTCCATATACTGAGAGACAGAATAAAGGAGAAAGAGGAGCAATAAAATTAAATGACTTGAGATATTCTAAGTTTAATTTTCATAATATCCCATAGCATAATAAAATCAAACATTTTTGGACCAACTCCAAGCATTTGCAAACACTATTATAAGACTTACATATTGCTCTGGAAGTATTACTGTTGATCATAAATTCATAGTAACTGCATTGAATACAAAACGTAAACTGACTACACAAGTTGTGCTGACTTGAGCAGGCGTACCGCTTCCGCAGTGGACTGAGCCAGTTCCATGAAGGCCTCCTTGCTGAACAACAGCAGTCGGGTCCTGCCTGTAATAGGAGATTCATCCAGGTGGGTGAGAAACAGGAGAGAGATGAAGAACAGCAGTCCCGACACAGCTCCCAACAAGTGCCAGCGTCGACGCCATGTCCATTCACGAAACAGCTGCTTTTTATTGTCCGGCAGGGCCATCCACCATTTTCTGATGCTCCTAGAGGCCGAGAGAGACACCCGAAATCTAAATCAGAGTTCTTATTAAATATTATCTTGAAAACCAAGAACTTTGGTGTCAATGACCTGCCATACACTCCCCATATACTAACCACAGTAAAGACAAGTATGAATGGGCACTGTATGTGATGTTCACAACTGTTCAAAAGATTGTTTTAAATAAATTAATACTTTTATTCAGCAAGGATGCATTAAAAGGATCAAAAGTGACAGTAAAGAGTTTAACATTGTTATAAAAGATTTATATTTCTTACAAATGCATTTCTTTTAAACTCTAGTCATCAAAGAATCCTGAAAATAAAATGTATCATTGTGGCTTCCACAAAAATATCAAGCAGCACAACTGCTTTCAACATTGATAATAATCAGAAATGTTTCTTGAGCAACAAATCATCATATTAGAGCGATTTCTGAATGATCATGTTACACTGAAGACTGGAGTAATGATGCTGAAAATTCAGATTTGATCACAGGAATAAATTATATTTTAAATAATACAATAGAAAACAGTTATTTTAATTAAACAGTTAATTAAACAATATTACTGTTTTACTGCATTTTTGATCAAATAAATGCAGCCTGGTTGATCAGAAGGGACTAACATTCGAATTGGAGTGTAAATGCTTCTACTACTATTATACATTATAATGTATTAAACACTATTTCACTGTACAAGTATAGCTAATTTAGTGCGATACAGTTTAAAAATAGATTTAGTAACAAAAAAAAAAAAAATTATTATTTATTATATCAGCAGCATCAGCCAATAATTAGGCGTAAAAACAGTATGGATTTATAATAATAGCCACTATATCAGTTACTGGCCATAACATTAATAAAATCAGACATAAATAATAATAAAATAATAATCTGCAAAAATATCCATCAACACGGAATACATTTAGATGTAGTTATTTGCCAAAAATGTTATAGATTAATTAAAAATATTTAAGTACTATTGGTCATAATATCAGTTATTGGCCTACATTTTAAAATAATAATAATATAAAAACAGTACAGATTTATCATTTTGGCCATCACATCAGTTATAATATCATAACTTAGCAATAAGTACTGAGTATCACTATCTGCCACAATACAGTATTGGTGCATTTCTATCTGGAGCTGTGCACTGATTCGCCAATTTCTAGTAAACGAGGAGGTAAATAATATGTTGTTGTTTATATGAAGTACCTCATCCTCTCCTCAGGTCTTTTTGACCCGAAACTCATTTAAAAAATAAAAATAAAAATTCCCATTAAAGTTAATGGGGGGTAATATAACTTGGCCAATGTTTGTATCTCTCTCTCTCACACACACACACACAAACACACAAAAATGCAAAAGTAAAAGTATAACACCAATTTTCTGAATTAAAATCAGCCTTTTCAAAATAAATATAATTTTAAAAAAAATCTGCTTACTTACTACAGTAACTAGAATTATTACAATATCTGGCCCTTCAATAAACAGAAAACCCTAAAAAGGAAATTATCAAAATTAAAAGTAAAAATGCTAAAACTTTAATGCTAAACGGAAGTAGTGCTAACTGACTTTCGAACCCAGGGGAACAGTTCATTTGCTATAAAGTCATCTAGTGGCAAGAGTCATGAAAATCATGAAATATGAAATATCATGTTATATATATATTTTTTTTTTTCACAAGAGGACGGCAGAGCCAATGTGAGGTATGTTGAGCTAATTTAACAGGGTTAAGTTAAGCATTTTGTATTTAAGTTGAAAGAATGTGAAGAATGTGCTTAAATTAGATTATTTATTTATAAAACCTAGTAATTTAAAGAAACTAATATAAAAAAGTAAATATATATATATATATATATATATGGTATAAGCTTTCTGGACAAAAATTATAGTATAGGTTTAGGTTTTTTAAGACCTAATCAGGGACTCCTTTTTTTTCTTTTTTCTTTTTACAGTACTACATAAGGATTTAAGAGTCTCACTCACCTGCCTAGTATGATGGCGATGATCTTCTGCAGAGGCTTCAGTACCAGCCATACCAGGGGTGCAGGTACAGCTCTCAGTCTGCCTGAGCTGTGAAACTCACGAGTCGACTGAACGATCACTCGATGAACTGGAGGTCTGAACGCTGTTATACTGCTGTTCAGTCTCAATCTTGACCTCAGACAGAGACACGAAGGAGAAACAGTGACAGATCCTCTTGCTTTCAGATAGGAAGATGAGTTTGTCCTCATCAGATGAGTCCGAGCAGAGGCAAAGAGTGATGGACGGCAGTGAAAGTCTCTCTGTCCACAACATCTTATCACTGAGTGTAACCGGAGCAGGTTTATTGACAACATTATTGTCGAGCTTGACAAGGCGAATATAAATCTGCTCCAATATTATTATAAAATGCACTGAATATTCATCTTTACTATTGTTTACTTAATTATTATACGGGTCAAATGAGACAGTTTATGGGCTCATTATGCATGTTAAATTCACAAACGTAATTTCAATTACACTGTATAGGAAGCAGAAAAGTCCAGTTAAGTCCACATGGTGCGTTGTTTGAGCGGTATTAAACTAAGTAGACCGCTAAAACGTTCAGTATTTCTAGACTTGTATTGCTACACCTGCTTAATCATACGCATTAATTATTTAAAACGCGTATCTGTTTTTAGAAGCCCTCTGAACTCTTCACCTCCTCTTACTTCACCGAGTCTGACTGCGACAGTTAAAACACTCCCCCCGCAAACAGCAACACTTCGCCATGGTTCCGCCCGTCTATCACAGGTCACAGTAATTAACATGACGGTTCATTAATCCTTCCATCGTCTTCTGGTGGCTAAATAAACAATAAATAAACATCTATATTTGGCTATATTTCAGTAGCACTTTTGTGTCCGACTCTGTTCAGATCTTTACAAGTCAGGGTCTTGTACCAATACTAAAAACGATGTATTGTATAGGAGTTATGCATGCAATTTATGTTACACTTAACAATAAGATTCCATCAGTTAATATTAGTTTACTACATTAGTTAACATGAACTAACAATGAAAAATACTTTTACAGCATTTACTACTCTTACATGATTAAAATCTAAATTTATATTATAAAATGCTGAAATGAACCAGAAAAATTGGCCTTTTGACAGTCAAAACGTTCTTTAAAATTGTTACTCCAATTAATCTCTTTTTCATAATACAATTTTATTTAAGTGCTGCAAACACTTTCTTGCACATTGTGATCAAACTGAATTACAAAATTTCATCAAACTTTAATTAAAAATGTTAAATACAGCTGTGTGGTTAAACTCATTTTTATGAAAACTAAATAACACTTTATAGTACAAAAATCTACAAGAATGCAATGTTACATACAATGTAAGTGAATGACACTTTTGTCCTCTGCAGTAGCAGGTTTCTCTATGGTAACTTCTTCCATTCACACTCTTAGGTTTATAGTTATTTACACAGTTTCTGTCCTTCTTCATCACAGCTTTTTACATGGTTGACAGGTCCTGTAGTGTACAATTCATCTTGGCTGTCAGAATCAGTAACACACGTCTCATTCGTAGCATGGCTGCTGTTGAATGGCTCAGAGGAGATGAATGACAGTAACTGAGGCTGTGTTACTGCTTCATGAAGATGAGAGGAGGAAGAGCCAGGCTCAGGGAGAAAATGTGTATGAAACAAGGTTTCTATCTGTACCAGGAAAGTCTCCGTGTCAACCTCTGAGACCTGCTCCAAAGTCTTCTGGATTGATCTCAGCATCTGTGGACGGACAAAAATATTATAATTATTATTTAGCAAAACTCATTCAACTGGCATGTCAAAACAATTCATTTAAATATGCACTGTGAACCATTAATATTAGTATTAAATGTTTGCAGAATATTTGCATGTACAGTAGTTCATGACATCATCTAGTGTACTCAGAAGTGCTTCTGACAGCAGCGAGGGAACTTGTAAATATGACCTTGTGTGCCAGTAGTCAAGATATCAGGTTAGCAATTTTGTCCAAAAATCTCTTGCAATTTTCATGTGTAATATGCACTTATAGATATGAGATAGATATGAGACATATTACCTTTTCCAGGCAAGTCAGAGAAGAATCTCTGCGGAAAAGCCTGCCCATTGGTACACTCCTGAAAGAAGAATGAGATATGTATATGAATATATATTTATTAATAAAACTTTTTTGGGGGAAAAATTAAGTATTAATAAAAGAAAAAGTATGTACGTATATATTTTTGATATATCCCAAAATTGTAGCAAGCTTTACTAATGCTGGAAATAATGCCAAATACTACTAATACTAATATACAATGTTGGAAACATACTAATACATACATTAAAATACTCTGAATACTAAACATTTTTTGAAGCTAGTTAATAAACATTTTTTATTTTAATTTATAACTTTATTTCATATTTTCATGTATTCTTGCGTCCCTCTTCCAGCCAAAGACAAGGTTTCCCTCATAAAACACGCAGCTCACCCATGACACAGCCTGTACTTGAACACAACCCATTCTGCTCTTCTCATCACTTCAGACCAATCAGGAAGCTCAGATGAGTACTGGATGTTAAACCGGTATGGAAACCCTAAAATACAAACAACACGATTACTCGCACAACAAATGCTGACTCACACACCACAGACTGATTCAAATTCAGCTGGAGCTGTTGCTGGGCTTATTTTATTCTTTACACCATGGTTATTTTATTCTTTAACAGCAGCCATGACTCTAGTGCTTACCAGAAAGACCATGAAACATTTACAGAACACTGATAACCTACAGTAGTATATTAAAGGAGTAGTTCACTTTTTAAAAAACTTTTGCTGATAATTTACTCACCCCCATGTCATTCAAGATGTCCATGTCTTTCTTTCTTCAGTCGAAAAGAAATTAAGGTTTTTGATGAAAACATTCTAGGATTTTTCTCCATATAATGGACTTCATTGGGACCCAAACGGTCCAAGGTCCAAATGACAGTTTCAGTGCAGCTTCAAATGGCTTTAAACGATACCAGACGATGAATAAGGGTCTTATCTTGCGAAACGATCGGTCATTTCAAAAATAAATTTAAGTTTTATAAGCACAAATGCTCGCCTTGTGAAATTTTTTTTCAAAATGAACAAATCTTTTTTTGAGTCATTTCGTTCGTTGAATGAACGAAATGACTCGAAAAAAGACTCGTTCAAAATTAACAAATCTTTTTTCGAGAAAAAAGATTTGTTCATTTTGATGAACGAGTTCGAACAGGAGAGTCACAAACGTGCATCACAGAACAGAGCAAGGCGAGCATTTGTGCTTATACAACTTAAACTTTTTTATTTATTTTTTAAATGGCCGATCGTTTCGCAAGATAAGACCCTTATTCATCGTCTGGTATCGTTTAAAGCCATTTGAAGCTGCACTGAAACTGTCATTTGGACCTTGGACCGTTTGGGTCCCAATGAAGTCCATTATATGGAGAAAAATCCTAGAATGTTTTCATCAAAAACCTTAATTTCTTTTCGACTGAAGAAAGAAAGACATGGACATCTTGGATGACATGGGGGTGAGTAAATTATCAGCAAAAGTTTTTTAAAAAGTGAACTACTCCTTTAAGTATTAAAGCTGCTGTGAATGATTTGTAAGTGAATGCGCTGAGACATACTCAGAGATCCAAAGGGTCCGCTCTCCTCCTCTACCAGCAGACAGGTGGTCTGAGACAGGGGCGAGGGGTTACTGGGGTTATACGGGCTGACAATCACCCCGATAAATGGAGCGCCTCCTCGAGAGAAATAACTCTGAAATAAAAACAAACAGCCAGAATGTGACATGTAAACAAAGACACCATCCTAGTCATGCTACAATGCAACACATAGATCTGTTACCTGGTATTTGGCCTGAGTGTCAATGTCTCTGAGGGAGGGGTTGGGGTCAAAGGCTGGATGAGAGTGGTACCAACCCACCACACTGTGACCTTTGACCCCGAGCAGCTCAGAGGCCTGAGTCTGAGAGACGGGGTCCATCTCACACTGCAGACCTGTGCTCAGGCTGTTACATGGTTCTGCTGCACAGATCTACACAAACATCATGCATTTATTACAGCGTACTTAAACTTAAGATGAATCACTTGTTGTATTCCTCATTTGTAAGTCGCTCTGGATAAAAGCATCTGCTAAATGAATAAATGTAAATGTAACTGATTGAAATAAACAGTTGATTATGAGTCCATGAATTCACTGACCTTTAACACCTTCTCTTCCTCTTCATATGTTCCTCCTAGAAGGCCAATCACCTCTCCCATAGACACATGAGCATGCTGGGTAAGGATTTGATTATTAGTACAACATAATACAACACTGAGGAATGAATAAGAGAGCAAAAAAAGAAAAAAAGCTGAGATTAATCAAATCTGGAAACCAACTTACTATGTCCATGACAACAAGAGCCTCGGCACAAACTATCACTCTGTATGGTTCCTGAGTCAGCAAGACACAACAGACATTTGTGTGACAATTACTGTGCTTTCCACCCTCATATCCCCCTGAGACGAGAGATTTATTTATTTTTTGTCTGGAAAAAATCCTCCGATGACGCAAAAATCGTCATTTTGCGTCATCGGAGGATTTTTTGGCCAGAGGCTAAAGACTACAGCCAGTAGTAGGGGCTGTCCCGCATGTTCTCAACCCGCCCATAGAGGGTGGGATCTCACTCACAGAATGTACACATAGTGTCAGACATCTTTTTTTGGAAGCTAAGCTAGCAGGCTCTTGTTCTGTGGAGAAAGCTGAGTAGTAGGGGTTACCATCCTCTTTTTCCCTGACATGTCCGGCCGTCGATGTCCGGGATTCAGCTTTTGCTTTCTGCAGTCGCCATTCATTGTTTACATGCACACCTTTTGTTTCAATCTAACTGAATTCATTCCGATTGGTGAATCTGAATGTAGTGTTTACATGAACGCTAAACAAGTGATCGGTTGATGTGCGTTTTAACATTGCTAAGAAAATTCCCGCTCCTCCGTGAGAGATACGAGACCGACGCGTCTCACAGGTGTCGCTCATTGGTAATCACGCCACCGGCCTCGCGCTGTTCTCCCGCGGCCCTAGCCTCGTCCTGCTCGCCACAGTAAACATGATGAATGGCGACTGTAGAACGCAAAAGCCGAATCCCGGACATTTTGGGCGATCTCGAAATCCCGGGCAGACTCATCACGGAGACTCACTAGTAGCCTAGACTTGTTGTTTAACTACTGCGCTCTGTTACCGGTAGGCGTGGCTTCCTAGGGCAGCGAAGCAAGTGCATTCTGGGAGTTGTTGTCTTTCATCCACATAAGCCAAAAATACATTTTCTGGCTTTTCTCAGTCTAGAAAGCTCCAAATTCAAAAATAATTTCACATTTCTTCTACATAAATGACCCATTTTAAATACACATTCATCTTTCCAGAGGTGAAGTATCCCTTTAAAAAAAATAATGTTGTGTTTTATTTCAGTTAACATTCATTTCCTTTTTGAGTTTTAGTTTACCATCATAACCCTGGTTTTTATGCATGAAAAGACTGAACAGAGATATGATCAAATGTAATGATTACCTGTTTTTCCTCTCCAAAAGCTTTGCAGGGAATGAGCTGGAATGGATCAAAAGAGCTGCAGAGGACAAAGGCAAGGAAAAAATCCA